AGGAAGGAAGGAGGAGGAAGGGAGGAATGAAAAGAAGGAAGGAAGGAAGAAGGAAGGAAGGAAGAAGGAAGGAGGAAGGAAGGAAGAAGGAAGGAAGGAAGAAGGAAGGAGGGAAGAGGAAGAAACGAAGAAGGAAGAAAGGAAGGAAGAAGGAAGGAAGGAGGGAAGGAAGGAGGAAGGGAGAAAGAAAGGGGAGGAAGGAAAGAAGAAGGAAGGAAGGAGGGAGGAAGAAGGGAGGAAGGAAGGAAAAAGGAAGGAAGGAAGAAGGAAGGAAGGGAGGAAGGAAGGAGGGAGGAAAGAAGGAAGGAGGAAGGAAGGAAAAAGGAAGGAAGAAGGAAGGAGGGAGGAAGGAAGGAGGAAAGCAGGACGGAAGGAACACTTCCACCCTTTGACTCCTGCTCCTGGTCTGTCCCCCTGGCCCTGTCCTGATAGTCCGCAGCCCCTTCACTTCCCTGAGCACCTGGACATGGGAGCTGCCCTGATGACCAGGGCCACACTGACCAGGATGGATGGCCTGGCCCGGTGACAGCCACAGGCCTGCTCTGTGCCAAAGCCAGGACCCCCCAGCCAGAGCCAGCCCCCATGGACCTTTGAGGTGCAGGTCCCATCCCCCAGAGAGGAGCTTGAGACCAGTCCTCTGCTGGACTATGCGGGCTGTTTTCTGCGGGCTGCCATGGCTCTGAAGACATCCTGACGCTCACTGGCCAGCTGGGGAAGCTGTGACCCTGGCATTTCCCAGGAACACCCCTGGCTCTGGTTCCCCTGGGGTGCCAGCCTGGAGACCGCCAGGTGGCCTGGGATGGGCCAGCCTTGCTGTGCCACAGGCCCCTGCGCCACGCCCACCTCCTACCTGCCCCTCCTCCGCGCAGGGCCCCAAAGCTCTGGGGCTGTCACAGTTTCCATTCTGGGCTGACGATGCAGCCTGTCTCCACAGTGCCCTCCAGAGCAGAAGAGGCAGCCAGCCGTGCACTTGGGAAGCTGCTGCCCCCGGCCCCTGCCCAGGTCTCAGAGGAGACCCCCTCAGCCCCTCCTCTTCCTCACAGGGGCTGCCAACCAACACCAGCCATGGCCAAGTACGTCAAGATCCTGTACGACTTCACAGCACGAAACGCCAATGAGCTGTCGGTGCTCAAGGATGAGGTCCTAGAGGTGAGCGGGCTGGACAAGGGGGTCTGAGAGGGGGAAACGGGGCACGGCCTCGAGAGAGGGGCACCGGGGGGTGGGGGGCCATCTAGGGCCAGGCTGGGTGACACCAGGACGGGGCACAGCTGCCAGCCCCTTTCTCCAGGGTCGCCACCCCTGGGCTCTGATCAGGATCCAAAGCCTGCTGGAGGGGCCTTCCCATCTTGGGGCTCCCCAAAAGCGTGCAGGGACCCCTGTGTCCGGCTGAGGGGAGCGTCTGTACCACGTGGACCCAGCAGGGGCCTGTCGTTCACACGCACCCCAGAGCCCCTGCGAACTGGCTGTCTCTGCCAGCTGGAATCCAGGCCACCCACTCGGGGACAGAAAGTGGAGCAGGCTGGGCGGAGTGGGCCACATCCACAGCCTGGTGAGGCAGCTCACGCCTGTAACCGCAGCGCTGTGGGAGGCCGAGCCCGAGGATCCCTTTAGCCCAGGAGTTCGAGACCAGCCTGGGCAACACCTCAAAACCCCATCTCTACAAAAAACATAAAAAGTAGCTGGGTGTGGGGGTGTGCGCCTGTGGTCCCAGCCACTCGGGAGGCTGAGGTGGGGGGATCGCTTGAGCCCAGGAGACCGAGGCTGCCGTGGGCAGTGACCGGCCACTGCAGTGCAGCCTGGGCGGCACAGTGGCACCCCGTCTCAAAAACGGGCTCCCAGACCCCCGAGGCAGGGTGGAGGAGGGGCGGCCCCGCGAGGGAGGGCGGCGGGGAGGGGTGGAAAGCCGGGGTCCGGAGGCCCGGGGCGCTGTCCGGCCTCGGTGGGTGTCGAGCTGACGCGCGCCCCGCAGGTGCTGGAGGACGGGAGGCAGTGGTGGAAGCTGCGCAGCCGCAGCGGCCAGGCGGGGTACGTGCCCTGCAACATCCTGGGCGAGGCGAGGCCGGAGGACGCCCCGTTCGAGCAGGTGGGCCCGCGGGGTCCCGGGGTTGGCAGCCCCGAGCCCGGGGAGCGGCGCCGGCCAAGTCCACACCCGAGCGGGTGCTGGGTCCCCGGGGCTCGCGGAGGGTGGAAGGGCCGGCGCGCGGGCCGCGCGGGGTCCCGGGCAGGTGCCAGGAGGTGGGCGGGGCGCGGAGCCTGATCCCCCCCCGCCCCCGCAGACCAGCCAGCAGTACTGGGGCCCCGCCAGCCCGACCCGCAAGCTGCCCCCAAGCTTCCCGGGGAACAAAGACGGTGAGAGCTGCTGCTTGGAGGCGGCGGTCCGGGGCCCAGGGCCACCTGAGGGGGGCGGGGGGCGGGGGCCGGGGGCGGGGGGCGGGGGCCGGGGGCGGGGGGCGGGGGCAGCGGTCGGGTCCTGAGTCGCGCGCTCCCTCAGAGCTGATGCAGCACATGGACGAGGTCAACGACGAACTCATCCGGAAAATCAGCCACATTAGGACGCAGCCGCCGCGGCACTTCCGCGTGGAGCGCAGCCAGCCGGTGACCCAGCCGCTCACCTACGAGTCGGGCCCCGACGAGGTCCGCGCCTGGCTGGAAGCCAAGGCCTTCAGTGCGCGGTGAGCGGGGGCGTGGGGGGCGCGGCCGCAGGTGTGCGCAGGTGCGCAGCTGTCGGGGACCGGCTGTGGGGGATCCAGGCGGCCACGGCCACAGTGCGGCCCCGACGCCCACGGTGCGGCCCTGATGCCCACCTGCCCGCCCGCCCTAGGATCGTGGAGAACCTGGGCATCCTGACCGGGCCGCAGCTCTTCTCCCTCAACAAAGAGGAGCTCAAGAAGGTGTGCGGGGAGGAGGGCGCTCGCGTGTACAGCCAGCTCATGGTGCAGAAGGCCTTCCTGGAGGAGGTGAGCCCCCCTGCGCTGCGCCGCCCCCTCCCCTCCTGCCCCCGGACCTGTGGGGCCCTGGACTGAGGCTGCCCCGTTTCTCCTTCCTAGAAGCAGCAAAGCGGGTCTGAGCTGGAAGAACTCATGAACAAGTTTCATTCCATGAATCAGAGGAGGGGGGAGGACAGCTAGACCCTGCTGCGGCGGGCGGGGCCTGCCAGAGGGGAAGCCCACCCGCAGTGCATGGAGTACTGTTTTTATATGTGTATGTATTTTGTACCAAGGACACGGAGGGGGTGTGGTGCTGGCCTGGGTCCCTGCCCCTGTCAGAAGGCACAAGGCCCGTCCTTGGGCCCAGCAGTGCCCAAGGCCCAGCCCGCACCAAGGCCAATCTCAGCCAAACCTGTCGCCCAGTGGTGCCAGCCCCTTGTCCACCTTCCCAAGACCACAGAACTCCCTGGGGTGGGGCCTGTCCGTGGCCTCCCCAGTACACCTGTGAGGTCGAGACCCCTCTGATGCTCCCCCATCTCCACCCCCTTCCACATCCACCACACCCCAGGGTGGGCTGGCAGGTCTGGCAGGGCTGAGCCCCACACACACACAGGGTTCTGCTCCTTGAGGGGGGCCTGGGAGGGGCTCCAGCAGGCCATGCCTGCCTTGGAGGGGGAATGCTACATGCTTCACCTGCATGGGTGAGAATGCAGGGGACACAGCCGGCCTCAGACACCCTCAGAGCTCACCCTCACAGGCCCAGGACTAGAGCTTCCTCTGGCCAGGTTCCAGGCCAAGGATCCCTGCATGGTGTTGGGGTGCTGGTGGGTCCTGGTGCCTGGACTTGAGTCTCACCCTAGAGCTAGGAGGTGGCCGAGGCACCAGGGCTAAGCGATTAAACCAGTAAAGTCTCCAGGAGCCGTGTGTCTCATTCCCTGGGAGCGGGAGTGGGTCCTGGAGCCCCTGGAGACAGCACCTTTCCTAAGCACTGCCAGGCAGGGGCCGGCCATCAGCCGGGCTGTTCAACCCCAGAGCCCAGAGGGGACCCTGCCAGCTCCTCTTCCTGTGGCCTTCCCAGTCCCGGCATCCAGAAGACCCAAAGCCTGTCACCCAAGCCTGGCTTTTGCTGGGCACAACCCTAGTAGGAGTGGTGGGGTTGGAGCCAGCTCCGCCAGACCGTGAGCAGGCCGAGGGAGGGGCATGAGTCAGAGGGCGAGGCTGAAACTGGATTTGGAGATCTTAGCCCCAGGCTGACGGCTCCCGAGAAGAAGGACCGGACCACACTCAGCGCCCTGCCTGGGAGGGGCACCTGACCGCCCATCCAGTGTCCACTGAGCCGCACCCTCGGAGGGGCCTTTGGTGCCCTCTGCTGGCCGCTCTGTGTGCTGCTGTGGGTGGCGCCCAGCTGTGCCCTCGCCACGGATCGGTGGCAGGGGGCAACCGTGGACCCAACCCTGGGGTGTTGGCGACGGTGGGGCTGGGTTGGGGGGGGCGTGTCTCTTGCCCCGTTCACCACCCATCCGGGCCTGGACACCAGGCCACAGAATCGCTGACTCAGTTCAGGCTGCACTGGGCCAAGTCGAAACCACAGTGTCTGGCCAGGGTCGGGTTGGCTGAGAGTGTCTGGTGTTCTCTGAACCATGACCTGGGCTTGATGGCCACCATCCCTCTCCCAGGCCCCCCGGAAGAGGACCCCCACCCCGTCAGATGGACCCTGCAGACAGGGAGACAGTCCCACGAGGAAAAGGGGAGGGATGGGGCGCCGGCCCCTCCCTGCTGCCCACAAATCCGGCCAGCTGGGAGCCAGGGACCCCCAGCAGTGGGACGGGTGCCCTGCCTGCCAAGCCCGCACCTTGGGATGGGGACCGGCACCCAGGGATACATCTCTTCCAAAAGCGGCCTCTGTGGGCTCCAGGATGCCGGGCCTTGGAAGGGGGGAGGGGCTGCCCCCTTCTGACCACCCCAGCAACAGAGCCTGTCTTTGCCAGCATGGTCTGGGCTTCATACGCCCGCTCCAGGCTGCTCAAATCCCGAGGGCGCCAGACCTACACTTGCCTCCTCAGCCCCCTCCCCACCCACCTCCCCTAGCCTACTTAGAGCCCTCCCTCTGCCTCCTGGACAGCTGAGGAGGCCCCAGGAAGCCGGACCCCCAGACTCCAGCTCCCAGATCCCAGCGCCAGGCCCCAAGCAGGCTCCCGCCCCAGGAGCCCCAAGTCCCAGGCACCCTGGCCCCAGCTGTCTGCTCAGACCTCTGGGCTTGCAGAAATTCTCCCCATTTCTTCCAAAGGGCTTCATGCCACCTCCTGAGACTCCTCGAGAGCAGTTGGGACCACCGACCCCACCAGCCTGGCGATGGGCACAGATCACGCGGTGTCAGGTGGGCTGGCTCTCTGTGTCCACTCTGGCCGCCACCCCAGGGGTGAGGATTGCCCTCCTTCCTCCCTGAGGGCATCACTGTTTGGGGCCAGCCGCTGCCCCAGCAGCCTCTTGAGGCTGGCATGGATAAGCATGAGGCATAGAGGGCCAGGTCACCTGCTCGAGGTGCGAGTTTGGGGCAGGGGCTGGGGTAAAATGCCATCTCTCATAGTTCCAATGTGTCCTAACCACTCACCCCGCCCCAGCCTCCCCGCCCACCTCCCCGCCAGGCAGGTCCACAGAAAGAGGGTGATCCGCTGGGGCTGGCCCCACAGGCCCAGGTTGCCAAGGGTCTGACCCTGGATGTGGGAGAGTGCACCCTGGGCAAGGAGGGAGGGTGGGGCTTGAAACTCCAGACCTCGGGGGGAGGGGTGGCCTGAGCTGCCAGGGGCACTGCCAGTGGCCACAAGCAAATATCCCCAGCAACAAGGCCTGTCTGTCTGGGGACAAGCATCTCTTTGTGCCTGTCATTCCCCTGCCCTCCTCCCCCCAGCTGGCCCTGTCCGCCCACGCCCAGTCAGGCCCAGCAGGACCCAAGAAGGGCTTCCCATGCCACTTAGGAAGGGCTGTTTCTTTTTTAAAAAGATGTCCCAAAATGGTTGATTTGCCGAGAGGTTGGCACAGCAGCACGCGTGGTAAGATGCCCCTCACACCTGTGAGGGTGCCGCAGGTCCAGCCAGGTGCACCTGTTACCTGGGGAGGGGTGAGGGTGGTCCTGAGAAAATGGCCCTGTGTGTGGAGAACACAGAAGGGTCCCTGCCAACCCCACCAAGCTGAACGAGACCCAGCAGCACTGGACGTCAGGAGAGAAGCAAAACCGCCAGGGTCACAGGAGATGTGAAGACGTGAGGAAGGGCAAGAAGAACTTTCTGTACAAAACTTCAAAAAGGACTGGATGCCGGGCGCGGTGGCTCACACCTGTAACCCCAGCGCTTTGGGAGGCTGAGGCGGGTGGATCACGAGGTCAAGAGATCGAGACCGCCGGGCGCGGTGGCTCACACCTGTAACCCCAGCGCTTTGGGAGGCTGAGGCAGGTGGATCACCAAAGGTCAGGAGTTGGAGACCAGCCTGGCCGACATGGTGAAATCCCATCTCTACTAAAAATACAAAAATTAGCGGGGTGTGGTGGTGGGCGCCGATGATCCCAGATGCTCCGGAGGCTGAGGCAGGAGACTGGCTTGAACCCAGGGGGCAGAGGTTGCAGTGAGCCAAGTTTATGCCTCTTCACTCCAGCCTGGGCAAAAGAGCGAAATTCCATCTCAAAAAAATAAAAAATAAAAAATAAAGGAGTTGATGAGTTTGATTTTGGCAAAATTAAAGACTTGCAGCCAGGCACAGTAGCTCACACCTATAATCCCAGCACTTTGGGAAGCCAAGGGAGAGGATCACTTGAGCCCAGGGGTATAAGAGCAGCCTGGGCAAATGGTGAGATCCTGTCTCTACAAAAAAAATTATTAAATTAGCCAGGCCCGGCACAGTGGCTCACACCTGTAACCCCAGCACTTTGGGAGGCTGAGGCAGGAGGATCACAAGGTCAGGAGTTCAAGACCAACCTGACCAACGTAGTGAAACCTGTCTCTACTAAAAATACAAAAATTAGCCAGGCTTGGTGGCCCTCACCTGTAATCCCAGCTACTCAGGAGGCTGAGGCAGAAGAAGTGCTTGAACCTGGGAGGCAGAGGTTGCAGTGAGCTGAGACCACGCCACTGCACTCCAGCCTGGGTAACAGAGTGAGACTCCGTCTCAAACAAACAAACAAAAAAATTAGCCAAGCCTGGTGGAGAGTCCCTGTGATCCCACCTACTTGGGAGGCTGAGGGGGGAGGATCCCTCAAGCCTTGGAGGTCGAGGCTGCAGTGAACCAGGATCGCACCACTGTGAGTTTCGCTTTGTCACCTAGGCAAAAAGGCAATGGTGTGACCTCAGCTCACTGCAACCTCTGCCTCCCAGGACCGAGGCATTCTTGGGCTGGAATTACAGGCGCCCACCATGATAACCGCCTCATTTTTGTATTTTTAGTAGACACAAGGTCTCACCATGTTAATCAGGCTGGTCTCAAA